TATACATATTATTCATGGATATTTTTAAGGGAAAAAGGCCAAATATACCCCTCTACTTTCATATATTGTCTACATTTAACCTTCATTATACTATCGGGCTAAATTTTCCCCTACCGTTATACTATCAGGCCAAATTTACCCTTACCGTTATATTATCGGGCCAAATTTACCCATATAATTAGCAAACTTTTAAAAATATCCCTTGATCTATTAAGTAATCCAAAATCTCCTAAATTTCTTTTATTTAAATCACTTGTTGTTCTTCTTGATCCACTATTTTTGAAATAATTGGCATTTACATGCTTTCTGAATTAGAAAAAAATATTAAATAATACAACCCAATAAATAAAGTATAGTAAATTAAAAAAATCAAAATTAGGTAGCTTTTCTAAATTTTAAAAGTATTTAGAACATCCAAATTTTAATGAATTCGCTGCACCAAATGTATGGAGACTTTGCAAGTATTAGTGATTGAAATTGAAGTTCCTCGGAGAGTTTGCATTGTCTAATTCAACTTTGCTTTAATTAAATGCCTACACATTTTGCACTCTTAAGTTAGTCGATCGAACTCTATACTAACCAGGCAATGACAAAATATATTTGAATATACATATACATACATGATGATCAACTGCATATAATACACAATAAATAGACCCACTAAATTCTATGGTGTGTATAAGATTAAAAAATAAATAAAATTTTAAACTAATTTTATTTATTACAAAAAGATAAATGGGTGCATTGGTAATAAAAAAAATTATAAATAATTTATATAGTCTAGTAACTTTAGCATTCACATTAATAGTAATTTTTGAAATTAAAATAGTGGACCAAGAAGAACAACAAGTAATTTAAATAAAAGGAATTTGGAAGATTTTGGATTACTTAACAGATCAAGGGGTATTTTTAAAAGTTTGCTGATTGCAGGAGTAAATTTTGCCCGATAGTATAACGACAAGGGTAAATTTGACTCGATAGTATAACGGAGGTTAAATGCAGACAATATATGAAAGTGGAGGGGTATATTTGGCTCTTTTCCCTATTTTTAATTACGGATGCCCTACTTCTCTTCTTGTGATAATGATTTTGAAATTAGTGTTTTTTTTTAATTTTTCAATAATATACACATCGTAGAATTTAGTGGGTCTATATATTATATATTATATGCAGATGATCATCATGTATGTACATGTATATTCGAATATATTTTGTTATTGTTTGGTTAGTATAGAGTTCGATCGACTAATTTAAAAGTGCATAATGCGTAGGTATTTGATTAAAGCAAAGTTAAATTTGATAATGTATAGTCTCCAAGGAACTTCACCTTCTATCACAAATACTTGCAAAGTCTTCATACCATTGTTGCAGCTAATTTGTTAAAGTTGGGATGTTGTAAATACTTTTGGAATTTCGACAAGCTACCTAATTTAGATTCTTCAATTTACTATACTTTGTTTACTAACCATTGTATTATTTTAATATTTCTTTCTCTTATTTTTTTCTAATTAAAAAAAATGTGTAAATATCAATTATTTCAAAAATAGTGGATCAAAAAAAAGAATAAGCGACTTAATTAAAATAATTTGATGAGATTTTAGGTCACCTAACGGATTGAGGGGTAATTTTTAAAAGTTTGCTGATGGTAGGGGTAAATTTGGCCGGATAGTATAACAGTAGGGGTAAATTTGGCCGGATAGTATAATGGTAGGGATAAATTTAGCCGAATAATATAACACAGGTTAAATATAGACAATATTCAAAAATAGAGAGGTATATTTGGCTTTTTTTCACGTTGATAATTGCAACAAATGCACGTGGAAGCATGTGATGGCATATCATGTGGTACGTGCTTTCACTTTTAACGAGCGAGGAAATTGAAGTGACAAAGACCATGTGCTAAGAGAAACAAAACTTATCAAACTTTTGAGATGTCAACTACTCTTTTATCCCCATCTTTAATTTCCTTTTAAAAACAACCATGCAAAGAACATCAAATTTTTGATAGGATATGTGGAGTTTCCTTTTTTAGCATTGAGATATTTGGAGAGCACTTTAAACATGTTATATAGTTAGCTCTTGACTTCTTGGATGCCGACTTTCTATTCTGCAATTTTGAGACATTGTGTTAGTAACATTTTTCAACATTATCGATCAAGCTTAGGGCCATATTTTGCAGAAAGTTAGTATATTTAAAGATAAAGCATGATAAATATATCTTATGGCTTAATTAAATAGTATAGTTTAAACCTATTTGTAATTGTAATTTTTGGAGTGACTTCTGGCGAGATGTAATATTTATAGCTATTTGAAGAACTCAACAAATAATTAAACTTCAGATGTCGGCCTTCTATAATAGTTTCTGGTTTATGATGAGTACACGCATTTGATTTTTTTTTTTTTTGGAGTTCATGGAAATTAATTTGGATATTTCTAACACATAAAGTATTTGTTGAATGAGTTATGTATATCAAATTATGCAGAATATATATATTAAAATTGTAAGTTGGATATCACAACCTCATCATTCCCTTTCAACTCGAATATTGGAAAAATTACTGGAAATATAAAGCTTATAACATAAAGAGCTTTAGAAAATAAACCATATAAGTTTATTGCATATTAAAATTGTAAGTTGGGTATGACAGCCTCCATTTTATTTAGTAACAAAACTAGTTCCAAAAGATACTTAAATGTTTTACATATTTCAGGGTTACCATTATGTATCTTTAATTGTTAGATAATGTAAGGTTTTGTAGAACTTTTATCTTGGTCTTCTATCCACTTCGTTGAAACTAATAGAAAAAGGTTTATAAAATTATCCATTCAATCTATTAAATTCTTTTCATTTTGAAGTTCCCCAAAATACTTAACACCAATCTACAGATAATTAGTAAGAGTATCATTATAAAACGTTCAATTTATTTAATTACTCCTTAATTCTATTTTCTTTTACTAGTCTCTTATACTAAAAAAAAAAATACTATTTTCTTCTAATATAATTGCCCTTATCATTAAATATCGCCACTTCTCAAACTTATGTGTGGAGTTACAACTTTATATTTCCTTTAATAAGGGTAATTTAATAAAATAAACTCTTAATTAATGATTTCATAAGAGTAGTGCAATGTCAATATTGGACTAGTAGGAAAAAAGGACGAAGTATTAAATTTAAAATTTGATGTGACTTACCACATCAAATTAACTGGCACTAATAAATAAGTCAAATTATCAGTTTAAACTCTTCATCTAATCAAACACTATTAATGTATATAATGAAATGGGCGAGTAAAATCTTTGTTAGCTTGCAACTCACAGGAATTGTATGTTGTGATGTTGTTTGTGATTGGACCAAATTTGTTAAGAGCCTGACCAAATTAAAAGGTTAAGGGTGTGTTTGGTACGAAGGAGAATATTTTTTCGGAAAATATTTTTTAATTTTTTTATATTTGATTGGATTAAATGTTTTAGAAAATATTTTTCTCGTGAACTCATTTCCTCCGATTGGAATAAAATACTTTCCTATCAAGAGAAGGAAAAATGTTTTTCAAAACTCTTTTTCAACCTTCTTCATCATATTCTCCATCCCCACTAACCCACTCTCACACCCAGTGGCGGAGCCACCTTATAGGAAGGGGTGTCAAATGACACCCCTTCGCGGGAAAAATACGCTGTGTAGGTAGGTAAAACAAATATATATGTATATATATATACTATGTATTGACTCCCCTTAATTTCTTGGTATGTTTACTTTTATATATTTTGACACCTCTTAACAAAAATTCTGGCCCCGCCACTGCTCACACCTCACCCACCCCTACCACACCCACTCACCCCCGATCTCGACATTCAAGCACGAATCCTTTGAGCGCTTCGGCAGCGGATAGCAGTATGGGCAAAGCACTCTGGTGCGGCGAGCAGCCAGTTCTTATTGCATTCACCAAGATAGTCTTGCTCGCTCCTGAACTCTGTGGCGAGTTCGGCCACTACCTCCAGGTCTGAGCTCTACTCCAGCATAGTCAACCATGATTTTCTTTTCATGATGTTAATTTTTTTTTTTCATTTCAACAGAAAAAGTACTTTCTTTTCATGAGGTAGAAAAAGTATTTTCTTTCATTTCAACAAAATGATATAGTGAAGAGTATTTTCTTACATTTTAACAAAATAATGTAGTAAAGATTATTTTTCTTTTTTTTCAACAAAATGAGTATTTTCTTTTCATGATATAAAAAAATATTTTCTTTCATTTCAACAATATAAATATTTCTTTTTATGATGCAGAAAAAATATTTTCTTTATTTCAACAAAATGAGTACTTTCTTTTCATGTTGTAGAAAAGGTACTTTCTCTTTCAACCAAAAAAGAGTATTTTCCTTTTAGTTATGGAGTACAAATTTCAATGTTGTTTTGCGTGAAAAAGTAAAGAAGCACATTAGTTTTTTTAGGTTTGTGTGAATTTTTAAAAGAATAATTAAGTTCTTAAAAAAAATAAAGTCTTTAAAACATTGGTTATTTGGAAGGGGGGGAGGGCAGAGGAAACACTAGAAAATATTGGGGAATATGGGGAAAGGAGGGTGAGGAGAGTAGTATTAAAAATTATTTTTCTAAAGAATATTTTTTTACTCTCTAACCAAATACTAGAAAATATTTTTTAAAAAAAATATTCACTCACCAACTAAATAAAAAAAAAATGATAAAATCACTCATTTTTCGGGAAAAGATTTTCCATGAAAACATTTTTCTTCCTACAAAACACACCCTCAACATTGTTGAATAATAGTGATAGAATGAATTCACAACCAAAACTGCATGTTCCAGAAGAAGAAGAAAAAAGAAAAACAAAAACAAAAGGAAAAATTAGCGGGAATGTAGAAGCGACTTTGAAGTTGAGGCCAAAAAGTTTGAAATTCGCAAACTACGCAAAATCTGCTGTCGGAGAGAGAGAGAGAGAGAGAGAGAGAGAGAGAGAGAGAGAGAGAGAGAGAGAGAGAGNGGCCAAAAAGTTTGAAATTCGCAAACTACGCAAAATCTGCTGTCGAAGAGTGAGAGGAAGAGAGAGATGGCGGAATTTGAAGACGAAGAATTCCTAGCTCAGGTAGCCGCAGCAGAAGCTGAAGCTCTTTCCACCGCCACCGCCGCCAAGCGTCGCCGGATCTCTGCCGCCCTAACCACCACCGCCGCCGTCACTACCGCAAAGCACAACGTCAACACCAATAACATTATCAGTGTTGAAGAAGGAGCTTATATCGCGGCTCTGAAAGGGAGCAAAAGCGTCGTATTCCAACAAAAAGGACCGACTAATGCTCTCTCTACTCCGATTAACAACAGCTACAAAGCACATAGCAATTATTTGCCTAGTTCCGACGCTGCTGCTGGTTCGTGCTTTAAGTGCGGGAAATTAGGGCACTGGGCTCGGGATTGCGATGTTAATCCACCGAATGATGATTCCACGAGCTTTCCTGAGAAGAAATGTGCATGTGGATTAGGTAATTGCCTTGTGCTTACTGCTAATACTGAGAAGAATCGTGGCCGTAAGTTCTACAAATGCCCCATCAGACAGGTATTATCACTTCAACATAACGTACAACAATTTCATGCTTCTATTTGTATAGTACCTTAATTTTCTAGGTGAATAAAAAAATATAGTGCATATTTTTCGTGTTAACCTATAAGGTTCTTCGTAAGCATTTGTGAGTGCTAAAATTTGAGTATCTGGATTTAGAGTACTGTGTATATTTCTATTCTTATCTGAATTTTAATACTTTCTCAGGAGAATGGTGGTTGTGGATTCTTTGAGTGGTGTGACCAACCTTCTGTTACCAATACTGCAACTATCCGAGGCCCTAGTTACTCTGTTAGTTCCTCGTTCCCGGAAATTTCATGTCCATGTGGTTCTGGCACATGCCTAGTTCTGACAGCCAAAACAGGAAAAAATATTGGTCAGCAGTTCTACCGTTGTCCTTCTAATCAGGTTTAATATCAGCTTGATCTATTCCTTTTTCTGTTTTACTAGTCTGCTGCACAGCTTAATGGGATTTAACGTCTAAGTACTTGAAATGCTTCACAATGCCTGGTTGTGTGCACGTGTAATATAGGCTCATTTGATTGCAAAAAATCATGCTGCTGGGAAAAACTTTTTGGCCTTCCGTTGATGTGCTGCCCCTAATTTCTGTATTAAACTATCAAGCTTTTGTTGTCAAACAGAAAGTACAATCTCAAATTAACTCCAAATATCCTGTGACATTCAAATTAATGCCATCTGTCATTTATGAAGCTTAATTTTGCTCAGGGTAGAACCTGGACAGTATGAGAGTGTGTAGCATACTTGCTTGAGCTATAGACGCATCTTGACTTCAGTGTTTTATACAGGCTTGACCTCAAAATTGGTGGGTTATAAGCATGAATAGCAAAATATCATAGAGGTTGGGATGATATGATAGTTAGGTCAATAAGTTAGTTTATATTGTTGAGGTAAGTTATAAAATGATATAACATCAATTATCGTTGTTACTTGCAATGGATCGACGTACTAGCTGGAACCTTGAGGGCATATGTGGTAAAGCTAAGGACTGTGGTTTCATATTTCGTGTAGGAGATTGTCCGCACACCCCCTTGTCAGGCAATTAGGTTTTCATCAAGACAAGTGGGTATGTTTTATTGTCGTGAGGTTCTATAAGGTTCTAGCCTTTCCATATTTCATGGCTTCCGATAAGGGGTGTCATTTTGACACCCCTTCCTATGAGGTGGCTCCGCCACTGCTATTGGTATCTTACATTTTATGAGCAGAAAGGAAGACTTGGAAGCATGTTATAATAATTGAATAGCGGTAGTGCAGAGGAAAAGTTTTAAAATGTCCATCATAAATGATTCATGAAAATCTTGCCTGCTCTATAGGACTATTATTGCGGATGTTGAACATAATTGAGTACCCATAATTCTGGGTGACTAAGCAAAGATGGTGGTTGGATTGGTTTGGTGGAATAAAATCAAGATTATTCCTTGTACCAATGTTACATTTTTTAAAAGAAGAAAAGGGTTGAGGTGGAATTTTAAAAAAGATAAATAAATTACGATATTTTATTTGGATTCTTTTTAAAGGACAATGGATTTTGTTTTGGACAATTTCCATATCTTTTCCCTTCATTAATCTTAATTCTTATATTAATAATTTTAACGTACTCAAATATAGTGTTTAGAGTTTATTTAGTATCATCTTCACAAACATGTAAATAGTCAATGTCTAGTAAATTGAAAAGAAGAAACTTAAATTTTAGAAGAGAACATAGGTGGTTTAACCCCCAAGCCACTAAAGCGGCCGCTTTAGGCCTCGCATAATTAGAGGCCCCATAAGCTACTCTTTTTATATGCAATTTAAATATTTGTTGTATTTATTATTAAACAGTGGTAAGAAATTTTTTTCTACCATCTTTTGCTACCTTGTCATCAATCGTTAATAACATAGTTTTATATTTTGTGTTGTCTTTTTTCGGAGTTGGTTGAGAAAGTTCAAATAAAAGTGAAAGGCAATTAAATCTGCAGTTACTTCTAGTTCCTCTTACTCCAACTTGAATAAATTTTATTTACAACTCTAGCTTTGTAGGATATTTTCTTTCAAGATCTCTGTAGGCAAGCTTCAAGCTAATTAGACCGTAAAAAGCTATAGTTAATTTATTTATCATCTTTGTAAATTCAAATTTCCACATGATTGTTACTTTGGGAGGCAATGCTATACAACGAGTTATGTTGACGGTCATGTGAAAAGAAAAATTTCAAAAATTAAACTTAATAAAATCTTATCAAATGTTAGTAATATTCCAACAAAGATTAAAGCAGTTGGTTACATCACCAAGATGAATTTGCATCTCAAAAAGTAAAAAAATGAACTTAAACAAAAATATCTAAAATTATTAAACAAATTTAAGGCTTCTTATTACGGCTTGATTTTAGGCCTCCAATACCATTGAGTCGCATCTAGAAGAGAATCTTACATAAATGTCCAAAATAAGCCCAATTTTATCAACTTCTAGCCATTAATTACAGACTTATCAAAACTAGCCAAGTGCATACAAAAATTAAAAATTCCATATAAATAAGGAATCTTTCCCTTCGAGAATCACGCGCACAAATCTCCTTCCATATTTTAAAGCATGGTCAACAACATTAGATGCAAGATGAAAAGAAAATTTAATGGATGAGGTAGCAAACAATGTGATGGAACACAAAGAAAAAAAATACAACATTCCCAAAACCTAAACAAACAGTGGACATTTTTTATGGGTATGGTTGAAATTCGTTGAAAACATATAGATGAGTCAATATACAACATTTAAGGAAGATTGTAGGTGATTTGAACTAGTTTTGAGTCAAAATTCGTAGTTGAAATCGAATTTAAAATTTATTTACGACATATGAATCAAACATGTATCTCACGTACAAGTATACGTGAGATACAATGCTTCAGGGTTTTAGGTTTCAAGGGTTCAAGTCTTCTTTATGTTTTTTGCCCTGATATCTGTTGCATGATTCGAGGCTGTAGGCTCTCTTACCCTATTCTGTGAATTGGGTATAAACCCTATCTCGAGCTGTGATGGTGTGTAGCATGGTCTAAGAATCTCAGTGGGATACATGTATGAGCTGCAAAAGAGTACACTAAGGTTGTCTTCAGTGGTCAATTTCCAGGTTAAGGTCTGTAACAGACAAGTTAATATGCTGCTCAAGGGATTCGCTATGCTTGGCACATTCCAGATAAAGAATTGCTAGCAGAATCGGTGACTAAGGGGTATATATAGGATTACAAAAGCACCCTGGTTAGTGAAATTTCATTGTCATTGGGCTTGATTCGCAATAGGGTTAACTCGACCCTTATAATCCTTGATACCTATTGGATTTCCCGTCATGCCACAGATACATTTTGCCCCCTTAGAGGCATTCATGATTCTAGTCAGTTAATCAAACTGTTTTATACAAATTTTAATATACACAATGATATGTACACAAACTAATGTCTTAAGCTTTACCATATAAATAACTCATTGGAACTTGCCTATAGATTATAGTTCAGCTATGTTAGTTTAGGTCTGATACTGTTATGTTGGGAGACCTAATCTCATCTACTCAGTTGGGACCAGATTGTCTACAGCTATCGTAGCAACTTGAAAACAGTCTCATTTTAATGAAAACCCACTTGCTGGTCATGACAGTCATGACTTGTTCTGTTTATATTTTTTTCTGTCTTGCCTATCTTTTTATGTTCATTAAGCACGAGTCTGCAAAATTGGAATGGAACAATGTGCAGCCATTATATCTAACCTGGCCTGGATAGATCTGGGATTTAGTGCATAAAGCCATAAACCAATAGAGATCCATTCAGGCATGAGTACTTTCAGAATAGTCTAGAAGATTGATGGGCATGAGATCTATCGCTACTGTATTCAAGTACTAACATTACGTAGTAAACAACTGAAGTAAACCATTAGCATATCTTGGAGTAAGGGAATTAAAATCTTTTGTTCGTTCTTCTTAAATATTCAACATAAAATGCCCTTTCCCTTTTCTTCTCATAAGCTGTCATATGAAGCCTAGCTTTGTGGCTGAAGGCCCTTGGTATTTTGCTACTTCCTGGAAGGATGTAAGCTGTCAATTGCTTATCACTGAGAAGTGCTATCTTATGGGTGAAGGATAGATGAAATTGGTGTTTAATGAAAATAAGTTTGTTATAACACAATCCAGATTTTATTGAATAAAGTATTACTAGAATCAATATCTTAGTTAAAGTGCTGGAGAAATATCTATTAAAATAGACCTTTTTTCTGTGCAAGTAATTAATCATACTTGATGAACCCGTCATGCCATAAAGTACACAACAATCTGGATACTAATGCCTACTATAGGGTAATAGTTCTCATAGTTTGATCATTGTATTTGTGGCTGTTAATGTGTTGTTTACTGCTCTTAGGGAAGTTGTGGGTTCTTCAAATGGTGTAACGACAACACGACCAATGCTAGCTTCTCAAATTCATCTAACATCTCTCAAACTTATCCAAACATGGATGGCTCAACCAACAAAATCCACAATTCAGTCCCTTCTTCCTGTTTCAAATGTGGCAATGCTGGGCACTGGGCTAAAGATTGTCCTCAGTCGTCTTCTCAACGCACTGCTGCTGATGGAGGGGTAAAGTACCCGAATTCAAGCACTTGTTTTAAGTGTGGCAAGCCTGGTCACTGGGCCAAGGACTGTTCATCTAACTGATTCCAGAGCAGTGATTGGACATTAAGTGGATTCCCTTGTGGTTTTCAAGAATTGCAAATAGACGTAAACTTGATATCTGAACATAGTCAAGTTCCTTTAGCTTCGAGTAGAGGATGAAATATCTGAAGCACTGTTATGGTTTTGATGTAAATACCACCCGAGTCCTCCAGGAAAGTTGTTTGTTTTCTTTGAACACCAAATCAGCCACAAGTTGCAGTTAATTGCACATCCACAATGAGCATGTGTGATCTTGGATTTTGCTGATGTTTGGAATGTTGATCTGCCTGTTAACTGCTTTCTTCTATTATTTTGCTGTTTGGTAATGGTTTAATAACCCCATTTTCCCTAAATCTTCCAATTTTTCAAGTTTGGGACATGTACATATTAAATTTTGCAATAAACTTTTGTTTTTTCTAAAAATGAGTGGTAAGAGAGGGATGAAAGCTTCCTGAGGATTAAGACTTAAATGAAAAAAGGACTCACTTTTGCTTATCGTACGTCAACCATGCTGAACTTTGATAGATTTTGTAAACTGTAACTCCTAGTTTTATTTTCCCTCTTGCTAGTATGTTCGTATAATTTATCTTAGATAATTGGTCAACTCGGCCATCAAAAAAACGAAAACTTGCAATCTATTCAAGGGGAAAGAACATCAATACATGTCTGAAGGGATAGTTTGTAACCCAATTATTTCACTTAAAATACTTGCCAAATGTATTTTCAACTTTGAATTCTCTATTTCAAATTGAAGTTAAAATAACGGATAAAATTAAAAAATAAATAGAAATTTGCCCGTAATATTTATGGACAAGCGGCTTTACGTATTACTACTCTAAATCCTAGTAAAGAGAGCTCTTACAAGAATATCATTGGGCGATGATCACACCCAACTATGCCTCGTAAGAGGTCTAGCGGTCATTGCAAATTTAATCCGGTTTATAAGTCCGGAGTCGAATCCCATATGGAAATAACGTACTAATTACAACCAATAGTTTTGCACGAATTCAAGTAATCAACCTTCATAAATATCATATAACGATTTGAGAGTTTACTAACAAAGATCAAAGTAATTAAAAATGCAGTAATTTATAACTAACAAAGCAAATATTGTAGACAAGATTTGGAAAAGTCTAAGGTTATGATTTTTCCTATTATCGGAATCTTTCCCACTACATTTTATATGAATTTGTCTAAATATTCTCTACCAATCGTGCGTACTTTGATTGTCGTAGTTCTCTTTCGAGCAACTACCATATTTTACTAGACGTATTCTCTCGAACTACGCCAGCTGGAATTAATTTACCGCTCACTACGATCGCACCAAAATTTCGTTATCTCTAATCCCGCCTTTAAACCCTCCGTATTGATCTCTCAACTACGTTAGGAGTGGTGTTGTTCAACAAGTACCTAAATGTGTACTCTCTTTCTCGAGCAATATACACACTAAAAAGGCACAGTTAATTGAGAGCTCTTCAATTAACAATAATAAAAATATAGTTGAACAAGTAGAGAAAAATCAAAGGCAAATCTATATTAAACGCAGTAGAAAATCATCCTCAAATATGTTCCATCAAACCTTAGATAAAAGAGTTTAGCTACTCATAAATACAACAATTAACATAATGTTCAGAGACATTAAACTACAAAGTAAAGAGATAAAGGAAGGAAAAACTCGTTTGATTCTTGCTCCACAGTGCTTGGCAACCTTTTTCATCTCCAAAATCATGTCCAACCCTAGAATAACTCGTTTGGGGAGTATTTATGTCAATCCCTCGTCCAAATCCGGGTTTGGGTCTTTTAACCCGCGACTTTTAATTACCGTGCTATTGACCTCGCGAAGCCTGGTCTGTAGCACGGTCGACCTGGCTATAGACCTCGCGAAGCCTGGTCTATAGCGCGGTCGATCAGGCTATAGACCTCGCAAAGCCTGGTTTGTAGCACGGTTTGGGTATTTGATATTTTTTTCTCTTTTCTTGCGTTTTTTTATCCACGTTTTGTGCAACTTTCATTCGATGATTCATTCCGATGTTCCTACACATAAAACAACACAATTTAGCGCAATTGTCGCACAATAACTCACTAAACCAACAAAATATAGGACGAGTAATGTGCTAAAAGTATAGCATTTTGGCTTAACATCACCACCCCATACTTAAACGTTGCTCGTTCTCGAGTCAACTACCAATTTCTTAAGCACTTTTTTTAGCGCATCTGAAGCACACCATACATATGACTGTGGTCGATAGCAACAATTAAACTTTAGCATATGCCTTCAAACTTCCCTTTATTTTATGCCATATTTCAAAAATTTATTCAACAAACAGACAACATGTTTATAACAATGCTAACCTCACAAACCGACTCAATATCACAATGCATTCATGGCTCGAACACTAATTATTATAGAGAAATCTAATAACGTCACTTATCCCTTATGAAATCATGTGCCCTCACAACAAGAACAAGAGAGTAAGTTGAATCCACACATTCGAATCAAATGCTCAAATATATTTTAAGGACCCACGTATATCAAAGAAGGTCCTCACTCTCACAAAGAAGTCACATGCATGCACAAAGTACCATAGGCTTGCCCATTATGTAAACCTCTACTAATGCAGGCTTGCTCGATCTAAAATCAATTAGGACTTTTTATGGTTGTAATGTTGGCTTAAGGACGGGTAGGATAAATTTAGGTATAGTGATTAACCCTCCTAAATACTTTAACACATCACATAATTAACTTGAAGCGCATTTTTTTCTTTTCAACCCAACTGCATTTTCACAAACAATACCATCCCCAACGTATTTTCTCTTTCTTTAAGCACTACTTTAATTTATACCCACTAGTAAGAACAAGATTATAATTTTTTTTAAGTTTCCGCTAGTGGTGTATTAATTTACAAAATAAGTGTACCCTTCTTTCTTTCATTGGTTCCACTCGAAAGCCACCCCACACTTAGTCCTTACTTCTTCTAGCGCTCACTTCATAATTAAAGTGCTTAATGAGGTACAAGGATCAAAATAATGATAATTAAGAATAAATGGGTATAGGCTTGTAATATGGTTTCCAAATAAAAGTCTATAAGCTCAAAAGGGTTGACTAGGGATAAATTTTATTTGTGGTAGGCATTAAGTTCAAAGAGGTCAAATAAAGCCTAAAATCATTTTTTTAAACCAAGCAAAACCTAAAATTTCGCTTCAACTCACATGCCGGACAAGTTCTAGACTCTAATGCGATGACACAGACTATACAATTTCTCATCACACATGGCACATGATTCACCAAGGACGGTTACATTCCTACTCTCAAACAATTGCAAGTATTCACAGAGCCATAAAATATTAAGCATCAAGCACAAAGTGACACAAGCCAAGAAAATGAGATATAGGCGTCAATAAACATGTTATCTAACTCAACAAGGTATCATAAGCAACTTCAAATCATAGGGAAGGTAATACACATGCTAGAGTCTAAATATGCTACTATCAAACAAGCCAAAAGGGTGTCTAGAATTTCATCTTCCTTCTTTTATTCCATAAATCCTATTCTATTCTAAAAACAAAACAAAAACTACTACCCAGTTTAACTACATCCCGTGGAAAAGAACCGCAGCACAAAAAAAATCACGAGAGATTATTACTATCTAAAATAATAAAAAGACCTATATATATATNTTCGGGAAAAGTCCAGTCATTTTAATTTTTTTATTATTATTATTATTTTATAATAAATAAGGGGAAATACGAAAATAAAAAAAATAAAAAAATTAAACACAAGAGCTAGTTTATCTAATATTTACAAATACAAATGACAGAGAATACCTTCCACCCCACACTTAGTTCATGCATTGTCCCCAATGCATATATAAATTCATAAATTCAACAACTCAAAAACATGTAAGGGGTAGGAAAAACTCCCTGATCATTCATCGTCATCACCCTCATCATCGAAGGCTTCATCTGCAGCTCTCCACTAGTCATCCGCTGCCCCGTCCTCAGCATCAGCATCATCATCATCGGACTGCTCTGGCTCGGCCTCGAAACATACTGGTGTGTTGACATCCTTATCATCTGGGAGTCGCTGACCATCGCCAAGCCTAAGTAGCTGTTGTGCATGAGGATTGAGCGGAAAACGCTCCTCCAAGATGGCCCTCTCCTCAGTAGTGGTCAGCATTCCCCCAATCCTGAGCTGTAAATCCGTCATCCCATATAGATGTGCCATAAAGTTGTCATCTCAAGCATTGCGCTCGACACCTGTCCTTGTGGCCATGGCATTATCCTCTTTAACCCGGATGCTTCTAATGTCTGTTAGTCGGAGGGGTGGTGGAATGACTATATCAAAATCTCGCTTCTCCTCTACCTCTTCTTTTCTCAGGTACTGAGTCAATATGTTGGTGAAGGACAGTCTATCAATATGCTTGCTTGTTCTTACTTGGGCCATATGGTAGCGTATTAAGTGGCCCATATTCACTTTCTGGCCAGTCATGAGGAAGTACAACACGCATATCCTTTCACGGCTAATCAGAGTCTCTTGGTTGCAAGGTAATAGTCGCGCGTTGATCAATTTCAGCCACACCTGAGCCTCCGGCTTTATTTTTTTCTTTGGAAATTTCCTATGGCGTTGGATCTTCTTGTCACGAACCCAAGCAGCCACAGAATTGACACCACAGAGAGTGTGTCTCAATGCTTGATATGTTGGACGGGTGATGAAGTTGTCCAAGGGTTCCTGTGGTACATTCGGAGCTCCCAAAAAATTGCATAAAGCTGATGCCGAGAAATCGATCAACCTTCCTCTAATAGGTACCAGCTGCTCAGGATCACTCGGATCAAAACCGGCATAAAACTCCCGAACAAGGTTGACATTTATATCCCCGGTGTTTCTAAACACGTAGCTCAAGCCAAGGTTATGAATACCTTTCCAAATTGATTGATACTTAGCTTGTAGGTGTCGCTCATGAACAACTGATTTAGAATGTATATGTCTCGGCCGACAAAGCTTTTACCAATCCTTGGCAGATTGAGGTATGCTCTTCAGTCCAAATTCTCATTGTCCCTCAGGTTGTAGGCGTGTGGCTGCTATAGTTTCAACTGCTTGCAACCCTTCAACTTGGCTTGAAATGGCCTCCCCACCTTTTCTCTTTTTCGGTGGAGGTCTGGAAGAAGCCTTGGCCTTAGTCGGAATAGTAGCCTTGCCCTTGCCTTTACCATCATCTTTTTTAGGAGGCATATTCATACCTACATAAGTGAAAGTTCCTCAGTGATAAAGAATATGAATCAATTCAAAACATGGTCCTGTGACCCCACACTTAAGAGTTCACGACATGATGTTCAACCATTTTGAGGCTACTTAGACTTCACCTCTTGAA